GCCTAGGATCATAGTCCCTCATTGGTTCCCTGCTCAGCAGGGAGCCTCCTCCCTCTGTCTGCTGCTTCCCCTACTTGTGTGCTCTCTCTCTCTCTCACTCTCTCTCTTTCTCTCTGGCAAATAAATAAATAAAATCTTTAAAAAAATAAATGTTGACAGATAAATGATTGATAGATGATAAATCGATTTATAAAATGTTATTTTGTTATATACTTAATCCTATTGCTTTTCTTCACTCTAAACACTATGAGTTTAAGTTCCACATAAGTAGCAATGTACACATTTAATCTGTTGCTCCTAACATCTGCATGATACACCATGTTGTGCAATTGCTGTATTTTACTTACCCTCCCCCACTTATGAGCCTCCACATTGCTCCATCTCTCCACCAATATAAATCGTTTTTCCATGAGCATGACTATTGGTACTCTTTTACTAATATGTTAGGATTGTTGCCATTAAGGACTATCATTCTTGGATCAAATAATATTGGAGTGCTTATCTTGACTGCTTCTGGAATGGCTATCCCAGCCTAAGCTGCCACTAGTACAGCATGACAAACCCTGTATCCCCACAACCTACCAGCATTGGGCATTATTCAGCTTTTTAATTTTACTGGTCTAATATCATAGCTGTAAGTGATATCATATTGTAGTTTAAGATTCAGTTTGCCTAATTACTAATAGTTTTGAACATCTCTTTAATCTGCTTATTAGATTTTTAGTTTTCTTATTAAATATGTGAGGTGATGGATGACTTCCATCTCTTCCATATCATTTGCCCATTCTCCTAATGAGATTACTTGATTTTTCTTGTTAAGTGCATGACTTCTTAGATATCTGATATTCTCATGTCATCTTAAACATTGCAAATCTTGGGACACCTGTGTAGCTCAGTTAGTTAAGCGTCCAACTCTTGGTTTTAGCTCAGGTCATGATCTCAGGGTTGTGCGATCAAGCCCGGCACTGGGCTCCATGCTCAGCACAGAGTCTGCTTGAGATTCATTCTTTCCCTCTTCCTCTGCCCCCTGCCCTCACTCACAGACGTGCATGTGCATGCTCTCTAAATAAATAAATAAATCTTAAAAAATAAACATTGCAAATCTCTTAACCCTATGTATCTTCTCAACTTTGTCTATGGTATTTTTCAGTGAGCAAAAATTTCTTATTTTGTGTAATCAAATTCAACTTTTTAATCTAAATTTTATGCTTTTGAAATTTTAAGTTTCTCCCAACCCATAGATTCCAAAAGCATTTTCCTGTTTTTATTTATTAACTTTGTATTTTTACCTTTCTCATTTAGATCTTCTATTATCCTAGATTCTACCTTGATCTATTAATATCAATCCAGTTCTGCTTTTCTCAATGGGAAGTAGATCAATGGATGTTTTCCAAACATCATCCTTAACAAAAACACTTTATTATTTTGGTGCTCGTTTTATTATTTCATGGTGCAATCAAGAAATCCAGAGTAAAATATCCTAAATGCTTCCAAAGTATTGGAGAAGAGGTTTTATACAAAGGAATAACACTAAGAATCCTTGGACTCTTAAATAGCAGCATGTATGCTAAAATACATAGAATAAATACTCTCAAATTTTTCAGGAAAAAATAATTTACCATTCAAGAAATCAAAATATCAAATGAGTTAAATATAAAGATAATTTCAGATTTATAAACATTCAGAATATATACATCACATGCCTACTTTCTTGGCTGAAATTGGAGAATATGTCCTCTAAAACAAGGATACTAGCCAAAAATGAAAGAAGTCATGGATTCCAGATAATGGCAAAATATTCAACCCAGAAGAGTGGCAACTAGAAGTTCCAGGATGAATCACATCTAGAAAGCAACAATTTCAGCTTAAAGCATGAGACAAGAGGGCTCAAAAGTAATGGGGAGAAAGGAAGAAGCTAGATAGAATAATATGATAAAATCATATTTTGAAAGTGACAGGAAGGAATTTATTTTATCCTAAAACTTAGTAGTTATGAGCCCACAGGTTTGTTGAATAATTCTGCTGATAGAGGCCGAGTTTGCTTTCGCGTCTCACATCTTCAGTCAGTCGTCAGGTCAGCTGAGGGCTGAAAGGCCAAGAATGATTGGAGCTGGAACCACTTGAATGTGATACACAAAGTCTCATCCTACAGCAGGTAGAACAGAGCTTGTTTTCATGGCTTTGGCAGGGATCCAAAAGAAGTACACATGTCCCAGTGGGTTTTCAAGCTTTTTCTTTGCATCAATGTTGTTAAAGTCCCAGAGTAAAAGCTTGTACAGCCAAACTCAGAGTTGATAGGTATGAGAAGAAACTTTTGAAGAGTGTGAACATAACAAGGCATAAAAATTGGGTGTAAAAAATTGATACAATAACCCTAACACAAAATGTCCAAGTGGTGCAGAATAGTTTAATACTCAACTATTATAGGTGGAAGTGAGAAGATAATCTTAAAATTGTTAAGTCAAGAAAAAGCAAGATAAGCATTTTATTTACAGATAAAGAGGAAGTTGCTGAAAGAAACCAATAAAAGAGTTAATAGAATTTGCTTCAAAAGCAGGATTTGAGAAATAGAAAGTTTGGGGCAAGAGGCAACTGTTTTCATTATTAGATTTTCAGTATTCTTTTTTAAAAAATTAATTTCTTAAGCATTAACTGCTTAAGTTAAAATATTAAAATTATGAATGAATAACATTTTAAAAATCAGAAATTATAAATAAAGCTACCTTTCTTAAGAAAATGCTCATCTGTCTTAAAAGAGCTAGCAAAAAAATATTTCAAAAAAAGGGACTATGGCATTGTCTTCAAGACAAGTGAGAAAAGCAACATCTTGAAAGAGTATAAACAGCATATCTGAATTATTTAAAAAGAATATCTATAAAGAATGCTTTTGGAAAAAAATAGAATTTGTGTATGAAAAAGATAAATCAAGACTAACCAGCATTTTCTATTCTCCTAAAGCCAAAGAGCCAAAAAGTTATAGTCCATATAATATATAGTAGCAAGCAACTTGGAGCTCCATAAAAGAAACAATAGAACAAATTATTTTAGCCCCAAGAGAGTCCTCTATAACATGGAGTGTTCAGTTAAGGACACAGAGATTTCTATGGATTTCTTTTACTCACCATTGTTGATGCTGCCAATAGAAATCACTAACAGAGTACTATTCTTTTTGCCCAAAAGTGTATTTCAGTAATCTGGGTATTGCATGTTATGATATTAACAAAATGTAAGCTAATTGGAATAAGTAAACTTCCCATTCCTAAAAATATCTATAACTTTGGAAAACAGAGTCATTTTTATTTTTATGTTTTTAACATTATTCTATGTATCCACATTAATATTATGTTAAAGCCATACCTACACAGTTAAAATGTATTATAATTATTTGTGTAGATGTGCTTCCCCCACTAGGCTATGTTTTCTTTAAAGGTGGGAACTCCTGTTGTACTCATTTTAGAGTCTCTAGCATTTAGCAAAGTGCCTGTCACACAGTAGGTATTTGACTGAATAAATAAAACAAGAAATTCATTATCCTGCCTGAACAATTAGAATCCATTTAATAGTAAATGAATTGTAACTTTTGGGAAACCTATATTAGGCATCTACTCCAAATAGGTACAATTTTTGAGAAGCAGAGGGAAGAATCATAATCCTTCCAACAAGCAATTTACACTTTAGGGGAAAGCAACATACATCTTTTGACTAGTTATTACATGGCAAGAAAATGCTGGATGTTTGCATATAGTATCTCATTAAATCTGTAAAACAACTTTTGAAGTTATTATTATTGAGCGCCTGGGTGGCTCAGTTGGTTAAGCAACTGCCTTCGGCTCAGGTCATGATCCTGAAGTCCCCGGATCAAGTCCCGCACCGGGCTCCCTGCTCAGCAGGGAGTCTGCTTCTCCCTCTGACCCTCCCCCTCTCATGTGCTCTCTGTCTCTCATTCTCTCTGTCTCAAATAAATAAATAAAATCTTTAAAAAAAAAAGAAATTATTATTATTATTGAGATGACATACTATTAAAGTCAAAATGTAATACGACAGTCTTTACCTGTGCAGCCCTCTTTGTGCTTTTCCAGATTTTCAAGAAAAACTTTTTGTTGTTGTTTTGGCTACAAATCTGGAAGTTTTTCTTCATCCAGAAACACCAGTGTATCAATCACATAGTAGATTGTCACTCCAAAATATCTGACCAATTTTATACCTCCTTTTTTTTTGTATACAAGTTAGAAGTCCTTAAAATTTTAATAAATCAAATGATCTAGTTCTCAGTTACTAAAAATTAAGATTACTACATTATAAACTTGTATAAAATGTTACTCTTCATAAACACCTGTCACATATATGATTAACATGAGTATTAACAGCTACCACTTATCAACTATGATGATTTATAGCCAGGCAGTTTGCCAAGAACTCTACAAACATCATATTTAATCTTCCCAGTGATAATATGGAAAAGTTTTTATTAACTGCATTTTCTTATGTAAGGTAATTGAGTCTCAAATGGATTAATTAAAGTTCACACATCTAGAAAGAATGATGAATTTTTCATCTGTTCAACTGAAAAGGCTATGCTTGACCAGTGTTATACTGTCTACTATACCTATGAGGTGGTCAGCATTAATATTTCTGTCCCCGTTTTACACAAAAAGAAACTGATACATTGCAAGATCAAATGCCTCACAGGTAGTAAGTAAAACCTTTGTTTTTCCTTCTAACTCCAACTTCAGTCTGGTGGGATTAAGTAATCCACCAGTACATACAAAAGACAAACAATTGCTTTCTACATTTTACCTTTCAAAGAACATAAAAAGTGAGAAAACCAAGAGAACCATCATTATTGATAATCACTTTTATGAACACCTTTGTGGTATTACCCAAGCTTTACTTTGGAGTTTTCTGCAAGCAAGTGTCCTTAACAAAGAGGAGATAGTAATTACAAATAAAGTTAATAAAAAGTTCAGAGAAATTTCAGTGGAATTGTGTATTGTACTCACATCCATACTTTTTGAGTCTCCAAGGAGCTTACTACAACTATGCAAACCGGTTATTATCAATCGCTTCTGTAATCCATCTGATGAGGGGCTTTCCAGAATCATGAGGTATAAGAAGACTTTGAGATCTAACTTGGCATTAGGGGCCACTTGAAAGCTCCTACTTAAATATTTCTGTTACCTTTGTGGTTCTATTTTTTATTAATTACTACAAGCATTTGCAATATTTCAGATTATCAAAAAACAAAATAAATGCACAATTTTCTCTCTTATAACATCTTTGGGCATAAAAACATCTTTCTTCTTAAAGTGCCTTGCCTCATTAAATCAAAGCAATTCATCAGTCTATCTCTCTCCCTCCCTCCCTTCCTCCTATTTCTGGTCTTAGCTACCATATAATTAAATCCAAACTAATTATAGTATTTATACGTCAAGGAGTATCATGGAGCTACTTGTACCCCACAGACCTGGCCTGGCACAAGGAGAAAGGCAGCAGGCATTTAAAAATCTAAACAAGCCAAAATGATCAGTTACAAATCCCTAGTAAGAGTCACTCCCTGCCCTCCCACTCACCCTCTCCCCAGAAATAATAAGACTATACCAATATTTCCTGTTATAGAAGAAAACTAGCCCAAGATGGGGGGTGACCAGCCTGTCTTCCTTCTGTTTCAGAGTTGTCCCTAAAATGGGTCAAGTTTTCAGAGATGTTCAACTTAAGGCTTAGAAGAAATAGCCAAAATCACCACCTGAAGCAAAAGTGGAACATGGTGGTTACTAAGAAACTTCGTACTCAGGCAACAAACAAGGGTTCTGGTTCCATCACTTAGTAGTTAGGGGGTCTTAGGAAACATCCTTATTGTCTATGAGCCTTGGTTTTTTAATCTGCATAGTAATATATATGCAAAAATAATTATTAAAGACTAAAGATAATGTGTACAAAACAAAGTGTCTAGCACAATGTCTGGCACAAACTAGCCTCTCAGTTACATACTTTTTTAAAATTATAAGGTGTAATTTGGGGAGCCTGGGTGGCTCAGTCGCTAAGCAGCTGCCTTCAGCTCAGGTCATGATCCCACAGTCCTGGGATTGAGCCTCGCATCGGGCTCCCTGCTAAGCGGGAAGCCTGCTTCTCCCTCTCCTACTCCCCCTACTTGTGTTCTCTCTTGTTGTGTCTCTTTCTGTCAAATAAATAAAATAAATAAAAATCTTTAAAAAAAATAAAATTATAAGATGTAATTCTAAAAGTTCTTGAGATGACAGATGAAAGAATGTAAATCATGGTAATTAAAGCACATTAATGTTTAAAAGTGAATGAGGGCACCTGGGTGGCTCAGTCGGTTGAACGTTTGCCTTCCGCTCAGGTCATGATCCCAGAGTCCTGGGATCAAGTCCCGCGTCGGGCTCCCTGCTCAGTGGGAAGCCTGCTTCTATCTCTCCCTCTGCTTGTACTCTGTCTCGCTAATAAATAAATAAAATCTTTTTAAGAAAAAGTGAATGAAATTCAGTGATAATCCTTTATTACAGCTGAAAAATATAGAATGACCCATGTTCTCCTGTCTACAATGTACCCATAAAATCCTCCAAAAAAAGAGAATTTACAAAAGCTCAGTGGAAAAAATAATGACCTGAAAACAAGTAACATCTATAAATGAAAAAAAAAGTAGATAAATTAGGCAATGAGTATGTAATGTACATAGGGAAGAAACTCTGGAATTAGATCATACTTAATTGCGCTTGGAGACGATAAATAAACTTGTTAATTCAGAGTCTAAGTTATTGAATATTCAGATATATGCTTTTAATATTCATTTTTCCAACTTTATAAGTAACTAAGATCTTTATAATAATTCTTTGATGTTCAACTCAGCTATATTTTTAATCCATAAGTATTTTAAAGACAAATGTATATACCCAACACTGGGCTAAGTCTTGAGGACCCAATGATGAGAAAGGTAGGCAAGTTCCCTATCCACATTAAGCCTAAATTCCAACCAATAACTTAAGAATGTTTCTCAGCTTATCTCCTATTTTCCTAGCTCGTTAATTTTTGTGTCATCACAACAAATATGGTACTTCTATTACTTGAAATATATAGTAGCCACAAAGAATTCTCATCCTTGCTCAGCAATTAAATATAAAATATCAATACATAGTTGCTTATACCAAATAGAGCTGACAATATGATTAATTTTTAAAAGAGTCAGAAGTATTAGTACATGACAGCTGGCAGAGTGTTTAGGAACATTTCATTTTAATAGTTGTAGAGGATTTTTTTAAAGACAGATTTGTTGAAAACCTTTATGGATACATTCTGTAATGAAAATCTTTAACGTAAACATGCACAATATATTACCAACTCATAATATGATTATTGCCTTGAACTGATATTGGCATCCTCTAGGGCCATAAGGAAATCATATAATATTCTGAACTATTTCTCTTTGAATTGGGTATATATTGAAATTCAGTGAAATAAGAATGGTTAGGTGTCTTGCATTTTGCATAATGAAAATTTCTACTCTTGAGTCTGTGGTTTGATGGGCTGATGAAACACTTTGTGACAGCTTTGCTTCTTAACTTTGCCTCATGACTAAAGAAAAATGACCCTCCATCTGGTTCACTGAGACAAGCAAAATTTCAACTCTTGTTATATCTAGCAATAGCTGTACACATTATATGGGATTTAGAATTAAATATTCCTTGAGTTACTACTTAGGTCTGAATATTCTACCTCTGTTTTAACTGTATTTTAATATTCTTTACTTAATGTAAATCACTGTCATGGTATGTTATTCCACACAGTTTAATTAAAATCAATTCAAAGTAGGATATTTAAGTTAAAAAAAACTAAAATACATTCAAGCCAAATGTAAAAAGTTTTACAATCACAAACTTTACAAACAATACTCAAGGACTTGAAGTTTATTATTAGCCAGGCAGATCAATACTTTAATACATGCTTTTTATTTCAAATAGGTGCAACTAAAATATATTTTTCATTTATAAGAAAGTAAACACTAACCAAAATTATATAATGATCTCTCAATTATCAAACAGTGCCAACTGGAATCTAATTTTTAAACAGTAAATTTTCATTTTGCTCTGTGACTTTCCTACAAACAAAATATATGAATTGGAAGGGCAGTCCAAAGAAATGTATAGAAATCAGAAGGGAGATATATTGATTTTCAACTGAAATGTAAACTATTTAAAAAATTGTTTTGTAGCTCATTATTTTCCTCTTTTGCTCACATGTCTTTCTGTGCCACTTATTTAGCAGAAACCCAAATCTTAATGAATTCATCCATCTGTTTTCTCAATGAATGCATCTGCACATCTAAATACTACTCAACCAGTAAAAGGGTAACTAAAGTTATTTAACCAGGGTCCTGACAATCTTACTATAATTTTCAAATGAATTGACTTCCTTTCTTTGTAAAATGGGGCTATATTTGGAACCCACCAATAATAAGTTGAATGGTAGCTCTCAACAAGATATGCTACCGCCATCCACTATCTACATATATAAGTATTCAAATCCAGTATGCATGTTAATAGTTTTGGAATTATTAACTTGTACCTTCGTGGGCAATAATCTTATTAACCAGAGCACCATGCTTATGTTCCAGCTCTTTTACCTGTAGTCTTATAGTCTCTATTCAATTCCGAAGTTACTTAAATCAGCACATTTTTCCACTACCCCCTCAGTAAGGTTATTTCATAGATTTATAATGTAATTAGTCCTTTTGTTACAGCCTCTGTGATGGTTATTTTTGTGTGTCAACCTGTCTGGACCACACGATGTCTAGACAATTGGCCAGACATTATTCTGAATGTCTGTAAGAGCCTTTCTGGATGAAATTAACATTTGAATTGATCAACTGAGTAAAGCAGATTACCCTTCCTAGTGTGAGTGGGCCTCATCCAATCAACTGAAGACATGACAAGAACAAAAAGACAGTAAGATAGAATTCCTCCTGCTTGAATCCCTGAGCTAAAATATTGGTGTCTTCCAGCCTTGTGACTCAGACTGAAGCATTGGCACTTCTTGGATCTCAAACCTGCTGGAACTACACATCAGCTCTCCTGGGTCTGTCTCCAAGTCTCCAGCTTGCTAACTGCAGATCTTGGGACTTCTCAGCCTCTATAATCACATGAGCCAATCCCTTATAATAAATCTCTTTATATTATAGATATATTGCTATATGATTATTTGCTTATCTTAAGATTTGTTCTTTGTGCTATAAAAGTCTATGGGCTTTGACAAATGAATAGTGTCATGTAAGTCATGTATTCACAATTACAGCCTTGTACAGACTATTTAAAGCATTCTTTTAAAGAAGTTCCCTGTGCTTTACCTATTCAACCTTCTTTCCTCTTAAACTCCTGGCAACTACTGATCTATTTATCATCTCTATAGCTTGGCCACTTCCAGAATGGCATATAGGTATGTAAACTTTGCAGATTGACTTCTTTCACTTAGCAATGTGCCTTTAAGATTCATCCATGTTTTTGCACAGCTTGATAGCTCATTTCTTTATATTGCTGAATAGTACCACATTGTTTGACTATACAACATTTATTTATCTGCTCACTTATTGAAGACATCTTGGTTGTTTTCATGTTTTGGTGATTATGAATACAGGTTCTATAAACCTTTATGTGCAAGTTGTTTGTGTGGAAATAAGTGTTCAAGTTGGTTGACTAAATAACTACCAGAGCAACTGCTGGATTGTATGGTAAGATTATTTTTAGCTTTTAAAGAAACTGCCAAACTGTCTTCCAAAGTGTCTGTACTAGTTTGTTTGTATTACCAACAGCAATGAATGAGAGTTTTCATTAAGTTTTGGGAAAAGAATATTCCTGTAGTTTAAACCATTGAAATATTTTTTCATGAAAATAAGAAATATAAATGTTATTATAGATCTCAACCTTAAAAGCAGAGCACTGCCCTAAGATTAAAAGTAAGATTACATTCAATGCAACATGCAGAGTCATATCAGCTTATTGGAATACATATATGCCTAAGTAATGACTTTTTACTTAAAGGGTCATAGCAGAAAGCAGGATTGGTTTGGAAAATAATGTCTTCTAGAGTTAGGGCATAATTTTCCCTTTGCGTAGATTCATTTTCTTTCAAACATCCAAATCTGCCTCTGTTTAGTTGTTACCTCATTTGACACTGTTTCCTCTTTCAATGGGTTTCCATTTCTGATGCTGTAATACTTCCTTTTTATAACAGATCAAGGAGGAAGAAATGCCCAGCCTGTAATATATTTTCAAATCAGTTTTCTATTTCTGGACAAAATAAAACAGTCACCATTTAATCTGGGCGTCAATATCTCAAGCAAGTCTTTACTGTCAAGATTTAAACATGATCCATTATTAATATTAATGTGACAGAGACTACTAAAATTCATTAAATATGCATTTTTAATATTTAACATAGTATTGACATACATATATTTAGAAATCCATATACATATATGCTGATAATAGCCAGAAAATATAGCCAGTACACCATCCATATTTCCCCCATGTAAAAATTGGACATTCTCATGATTATACATGATGTTTCTGACTTCAGTACTAATTTGAACTCCTGAAAATAGGTCATCTAACTGAATTATTGCTCATTAAGAAAGCTAATTCTTTGTTATTTTTACAGTGTTGAAGTTTGAACCTAAGCAATGATAATGAGATAATTTGAAGGAGCAATATATTGCATATAATT